AGGCGGCGGCCGAGTGCGCCCTGCAGCTGCGCCGCATCGGCGACAAGTGGAACCTGCGGCAGAAGATCCTCAACCTCCTCTCCAAGCTCTTCTGCCCGGAGACGTGAGCTCGCCTCGCACACGGACCGCTGAGAGGCGGGGAAGGGCCTCGGCTCGATGCGGATTTGGAACAAGAGACTTCACTAAGGAGATGAAGGAAGTTCTGTGCGTTGCACGTCTCTGCCCGTGGCTGCTGAGGGATGGCTGTCGCGACATGGTCCCTCTGAAAAGTGTTACAGCGATATCGGGTTGTGAGTGCCGGGTGGAAAAAACGGAAGAGAGCTACGGCCAGAGCCTCTCACTATGTGGTCGGGAGACTTGGGGCAAGACGGAACTTGCCTCTTCAAGCCTGGTCTTACAAGACTTCCAGGAACCTGGTTTTCCCGGGTGCCTTCTGGTCCTCATGTCCTGCAGCTACGTTTCAGCAAGGAGCTTGGACCACCTTCAGGAAGAAGTCAACACAAGTGTCAGTGTCTTGGAATTTGGGATCCCATATCACAAGGCAAAAGTTAGTTGCTTGGATTTGGGCTACTCCTGTTTTCTAAAGTATGGATTCTACTGGACAGGGATCTCGTGGTGGGATTATTTCTTTTGTTAAGTAAACCACTATCTTTATTGAACAGTTATTTATTACAGGTTGTTGCTTTGTAGACTAAAATTTACAGTTCTATGAATTAACACGATGTTGCATAGTTCTACTCTATATTATATGTGTGTGTATATGTATAATAACACATGATATAAAAATATAAAGAAAAATAGAAATAGAAATATGTGCATCCCCATGTGTATGAAATGAGTATTTTACAGAACTATTCATTGAATGCTACTTGTTAGGCTCAAAGAATAGTATGAAAAAATGTTCAAAACTTTACATAAAATACATTATATAAACTAGAAAAAAGCAGAATGCTTTCTGATAATAGAGAAAATACTTCATGCAACACAGGGGGAAGCATACTTTCATACAGCATCATGTAAGATATATATATGAACAGGTATTGCATAAATACAGATACTGAGATATGTGTGATATTGAGATATGTGTGCTTGGTGGAAGAGTTCTTTCAACAAAACAAAGAATTTTTTGAGAGCAGTACAATACTGCTATGTGTTCATAAGCAGCAAAATAACTCTTCAATAGAAGTAGATCCAAAAGTTGAGTACAAGTTGAATCTCAAGTTTTCTTCAGCATGTTACAAACTCATTGACAGCAACTACCTCTTTTTGAAGAAATAATATCAATAGAATTGAATACTACAGTCAGTACAAGAAAATAGTCTTTGATTTCTGAATGTTTAACTATACTTACAAGTGAAGGTTCCACTTGTACTCTATTTCCATTTAATTTAATTTAATTTCATTTCATTTCATTTCATTTCATGGCAACTCCATTTCAGTTTCAGAATGCTGAAGCTGCTGTAGCACATCCAGAGGATGGTGATACATTGTGCTTGTCTAACTGAAGGTTTATTACCCTTGACTGGCTTCGGAGGAGCCGAATTAAGCATGATTATTGCCATCAAGGCAAACAGTAACTCTGGTAGTCAATTCATGTCAGACACAATCCTAAACTCATGGTGCAAGCCAGCAAGAAAATGGCTGAAGCAGATCATACAGTGTAGCTACTTCTTAGGTCAATGGTCATCGTTCACTCTATTAACTCACCTTGTATCAAAGTACATTAGCATTGTATAGGGCTGTATTCTGGATTCTAGGTCTGCCCAAATTACATTTATTCCTGCCTTGTAGTGAATTCTTGTTTGTATTTAAAATTAATTTTTTGGTCAGCTCTTCTGAATCTGCCTTTGCAAAATTGTCATTACATAGCTCTGGTCACTGTCACAACCAGCTGTGTGTGGCTGTTACTTGTTGTCACCATTTTCATTAAGCAGAAGCTGAGTGATTTCGTCTGCTTTCCATGTAGAGAACTTAACTTCATCTCAGTGGTGTTAATGGGAGCTTTGCTATCGGCTTGAGCCACATGCATTGTTCCCTCCTCCTTTAAGCAGCTAATACCTTCTCAGAGAACATGGTATTTTCAGGAGTAGCTGTTATTTGTTTTAGTACTGCAAAGTAACATGTTTTGCTAACATGTACAGAGGTCAGTTTTTCGGGTATAAAAAAGTAAATGCAAAGGGTTTCTGTCCAGCTAAACACCAGGTTGCAGGCCAGCACCACACGCAGCTCAGCAAAGCTGTGCATCAGAGGCAGCCCCAACTTCAGCTGAAGGGCTCCAGTTTGGTGGAGTCTTGGAGTCTTCATCAAGGACACTAAGCCTTGATTGTGCCTGTCTGGGACTCTCAGAAAAATTCAGGATAAGCATTCACATTAGTAGATTAAATGTATTTTAATGAAAGTGTTCCGTTCAGTGTATGCTGCTTTGAAATTCAATAAGAAGCAATGTGGGGGCTTAATAGAGCCCAGCCTTCAGGCTGTGGCACACATCAATGTTACCAAACAAAATAAATAACCATAAATGCATTGTCATGGGGATAGCTAAGTTATGTATTAATGCAGTATTTTTCTGTATATATATGTAAAGACTGTTTGCTTTTCATTGAATGTTTCTATGCTTCTCTGAGCATTGTCAAGAGTGCTAGCATTCACTGGCAGCTCAGGGAAGACCTAGATCCAGGTGATCAGTGCCAGTATATGAACAAGCACTTGCTGATGTCCTCCCTAGGATTTCTTTTGTTACTGCTGTGAAGCATCTGCTATATGACTGTATCAACACAAATTTGTTTTTCTTAAGGCCTGTTCTGGACACAGGTCAGATGTTTTGCTGTATGTCCCATGCACGTATGTCTTGAATTCTTGCCAAGATAATAAATACAAAGTGTTTGCGAGAAAAATGAGTCATTGTTGTTTGACTCAGGAGTTTTCTGTGGATACAGAATGCGTGATCATATTGTACAAATTTCTTCCTTACTTCCATGTCAGCAGGCACACACTAGGGCAACAGCAGAGTGCCAGCAGCTCTGCACTGGAAGGTAAGGCTTAAAGGTCTGCCTTTAAGGGGAACAAAACATAACCATACCCTTGAGCTTCAAAATGGGAAATTAAGACGCCTATTATTTTCTAGCAACTACTGTCCACAGAATAATTGGATGGTGGCAGGGGTCCCATTGCCTCTAGCAGAGGTGTTGCACCTTTGAGGAAGAGAGTCCCTGAGTGTCAGTGAAGGACTGACATCCAAGTTAGAGGTTTTGTCAGGGATGCAGGCAGAAAGGAACACAGCATTTCACCAAGGTCAGATTTTTACTTTCTCCAAAGTTTGAAGCTGGAGTTTTGGAAAATGGGGAAGTGACACTGCTTACCACAGGGAAACACCAAGGAGATAGTAAGAGCTTATTTTTCTCCCTAAAGCTGTGACCCAAAGCTGGGCCTGTGGAGAGGAGAGCCTGAGATCCTCACCTGCTGTGCCATGCACTGCAGCAGGCTTTCCCGATGCTGCTTCTTCCCAGCTTCACAGGCAGGGAATTCTACACCTGGGGCATCAGCTTCCTGGCCAAAGGTTCTGGTTTCTAGTAAATAAACAACAAAAGGAAGCAATTTCCTGTCCTCTCCCAGTTAGCAACCAGCAGAGGTGTATTGGGTTTGCAAGACAAGGTTTTGGTACCGCAGGGGCAGGCGGGGGAGGGTGGGGTGTGTGTGCTCTATGGGGGTGGCATCTGTAAGAACCTGCTAGAAGCTTCCCCTTTGTCTAAAATAGCCAGTGCCCACCCCCTCTCAGAAGGACCCAGTTCTGGCCAAGGTCAAGCCCGTCAGTGATGATGGTAGCACCTCTGGGATGACATACTTAAGATGCAGGAAAAGTTGTTGCACAACAGCAACTGCAGACAGAGAGAGAGGAAACATGGGAGAGACATAACTCTGCAGAGACCAAAGGCAGTGAAGGAGGGTGGAGGAGGTGCTCTGGGCGCCGGAGCAGAGATTCCCCTGCAGCCCATGGTGAAGACCATGATGTGGCAGGCTGTCCCCCTGCAGCCCATGCACGTATATGGTGGAGCAGGTGGAGATCATGGAGAGCCCCATGTTAGAGCAGGTGGATGCCAGGAGGCTGTGACTCCCATGGGAAGCCCATGCTAGGGCATGGGACCTGTGGCCCCATGCAGAAGGGAGCCCATAGGGTTGCTGCCAGATTGTGAACCTGTGGGAGACCCATTCTGGAGCAGTCAGTTCCTGAAGGACTGCACCCCATGGAAGTGACCCACACAGGAGCAGTTAGTGAAGAACTGTAGCCTGTGGGAAAGCCTAATGTTGGAGGAGTTTGGGGAGGGACTCCATGCTGGAGCAGGGGAAGGTAGTAAGCAGTCCTCCCCCTGAGGAGCAAGGAGCAGCACAGATGATGTGTGATGAATGTAGCACAACCTCCATTCTATGTCCCCCTGTGCTGGGGGAGATGAAGTAGAGAAACAAGAAATGAAGATGAGCTAGGGAAGAAAGTGGGAGAGGGGAAGGTGTTTTTTAAGATTAGTTTTTTATTTCTCATTATTGTACTCTGATTTGATAATTAATAAATTAATTTTGCACAGTTCAAGTCTCTTTTGTCTGTGATGGTAATTAGTGAATGGTCTCTCCTTGTTCTTATCACAGAATCACAGAATCTTAGGGGTTGGAAGGGACCTTGAAAGATCCCCCAGTCCACCCCCCCTGCCGGAGCAGGGTCACCCAGAGCACATCACACAGGAACGTGTCTAGGTGGGTTTTGAATGTCTCCAGTGAAGGAGACTCCACAACCTCTCTGGGCAGCCTGTTCCAGTGCTCTGTCACTCTCACAGTAAAGAACCTTTTTTCTGATATTTACATGGAACCTCCTATGCTCCAGCTTGCACACATTGCCCCTTGTCCTATCACTGAACATCACTGAAAAAATCCTGGCTCCATCTTCCTGACACCCGCCCTTAACGTATTTGCAAACATTGATGAGGTCGCCCCTCGGTCTCCTCTTCTACAAGCTAAAGAGACCCAGCTCCCTCAGCCTTTCCTCATAAGGGAGACGTTCCACTCCATCATCTTTGTGGCTCTGCACTGGACTCTTTCAAGAAGTTCCCTGTCCTTCTTG